CATTTTTATGGATATCATCCTGTGATAGGGACAGTTCGCTGAGCAGAGATGTAAATCAGAGTGAAATACCAAAGGTCAGCTCAAGTGTTAAGGTGATGGAGCCAATGTGCAGTTCCAGGTGAGCAGGACAACAACACTGAGCAAAGAAAATATTCACAAAAAATCAGCAAAGCAGGATGAATGGAGCAGCCACACCCTGAGCTGGGAAACTGGCACCAACACTGGCACCTTTCCTGAGCACCTTCAATTCTGTACAAGGGAAACGTGCAGGTAAGAACAACCCCTGCCTGTGACCCCCTTTCCTCAGCATTGTTGATAAAACAGGCAGAGGATAGAGAGACTCCTGGCAAAAGCACTCACAAAACATCTGAAACAACATACTTAGGAATAATTCCTTGTGAGTATTGCCAAACAACATAAAGCTACAGCTGGGAGACTGAATGGAGAGATTTTTTTTGGAGGACAAGCTGGTGTTTGGCAAAACTTGCAGAGACTCAAAAGTTCTTTTACAAATTTTTACTACAACCACGGCAGTCATCATTTAATCATTTGGTTTTAGGATGTGAGGGCTCTGCAGCAATTCCCACAGGTAAATCCTGGGAGCAATTTGGGAGCAGTGCAGGGAGCCCACCACAATGAACACCTTCAGCACTGAACCCACATTTCCTGCTGGAAGAGCTGGGGAGGCTTCATCCAACAAGAGAATTTGAGAATTTAGTCCTAAGGACATCACAATTCCAGATTATGTTCCCATAAAAACCACTGAAGATTTCCCCTCAGGTTTCAGCTGGGAGGTATTTCCAGACATCACAGCAGTTTGCAATCATCCTCATAATAGAACTGTGATTTTTACTGTTCACAAAGGAAAAAAAGGCTTTCAAAAATTAATCTTTCACACTGAAATTTCACCACCTCTGCTAGCCTRCAGCTGGGATGATTAGGCAATGTAAGGTAGAGATGTAACCTGTGCTCTTTGGGGTCCACCCTGTGTAAATGAAACCTCCTTATCAAAGAGCTGGGGGAGAGCTCCCATACTCCAGCCATATACTGCTTTCAAGATAAGTTATTGGCAATCATTTACCAATAAAGAACTTCACTGCAGCCAGCCTCTCCATGGTGTATTTCCTCTTTCTAACAAAACCTGTATAGAATAATTTTTATCAACACAGAAAATCTGGATGTCTTCTAATTATGTAATTAGAACTGTAATAATTAAGACCAAAATGAAAGCTCGAAGGGTCCCCTTGTCCCCCAACTTCCCTTTCTCAATTAACTCTGCACAGTGATAACCACTCTGGCTTAAAGGCTAAAAAAAGGACAGGATCAAAAGGCTGGTTTAATACAGCTGGAGGGAAAGAATGCATTTCAGCTCCCCAGCAGCCATCTGATGAAACCCTGGGCCAATTCTCTATGTAAATGACTTAATTAGAATTACCAGATTACACTGCTGAAGGCTTTATTTAAATAGGCAGTTTATCAACAGGATAAACTGTGCTCCCATTCTCACAGAATGCTGGTGTAAATGCATCTGTTCAAAGCTCCACCACACAGGAGTTGAACAGTAATTCAGTAAACCAMTGGCATATTTTCCTCACTTAAAAAAAAATACCACAAAGGACTTGCCAGAAACAGGACAGAAAGATTCCCAACAATCAAAAATAGTCTCCCAGATGAGAAAGTTCCCTCATTTTTCTATAATACAGTATCTTTATGTTGTTTTATAGTAAAGCAGAGAAAAAGATCCTGTTGTTGCAGTGTCACATCACACACTGCATCTGCTCAACATCCAGCACTAGTCCTGGGCTCAGCACAAAAAGGCATGCATAAACCCATTTTCCTGATTAATGATCTACAGAAGCCATCAATACCAAATTCCAACTTTATACCAAGAGGTATTTTTCCATCTTTACTGTCAAATCAAACAAAGGAATCTTCCTAAAGTACAAGTCYTTCATTTCCCATCACAGAACTGAGTTCAGAATTTTATGTATTATTTTCTATTATTATTTACAAAAGCAAGGGACATCCACATTCAACACTGAGCTGAAATAACACTGTAGCTTCTTGTTTATTCAGAGACATTTGACTACAGCAGCGTTGCCATTCGACAACTCCATTTGTTTTTCCTCCCAAATCTTCAAAGAAATGTTTATAGCAAGTAAACTAAAACCCAACTATATCAATGAAATAGTCTTTGTTAGGCAAAGGCTTATCTCATCAGATGCAAAGCAACCAAGCATAAARAACCACTAAAAATGTCAGTGTGTGCCAGTAAAGTTTGGGAATGCTGTGGAAAAGGGAAGGGATGCAGGCAAAGGGATTTTTCTTTGAAAACCTTACATTCTTTGTGCTCTAACAACTTTCCTCTTTTCTCTGGTATGAAGTTCATCCAGATCAGTAATCTGCCCATCTGAAATTTTACAGGAACACAAAATTCAAGTAGTTTCCTGATAAATCTGTCTTTCAAGCCCACACTACACAACAAAGTGTCCAAAGTTATGTTAATTCCAGATAATCTGCTTTGTCCTTATATTACCTAAAACATAAAATAATTAAAACTATGTGAAAGCCATCATGTCTCACTCACAGAGGAAAAAAACTGTAGCTATTGCAAAACTTATCTTAAATGGGACCCTGTTGAGAAATAATAGCTACTACTGCAGAAAAAATGAATGCCTTAAAGAAATAGCTTAAAAAAAAGGTTTTACTGGTTTTACTCATTGCCATTGATTTGCTCAATTACAGAATACGTTTCATCCTCTTACATGGAAGAGGATGCACTCAAATTGGCCAGGAAAAACCATCATCTCATATTTTAAGAACGTCAAGTGCCCCCTCAAATAATGAGGGCGCAATTGCCCGTAACTGCTGAAATAAAACCACATCGCTGCATTTCAAAGTTATCCCGAGGCTTCTCTCACTGAGGACGCCAATAAACTTGCAGCAGTTTACTCTGGGTTAACACAGAAGCCACGTGCAGAGCTTAAGTTCATTAATGATTTTAACATCACCACCAAGAATACAATCCGACTTTTATACTTCTGTCCTCATACAATTGTCACCATTTTTATTAAGAGTAAAGATGCTGTTCCTCAAGTTATCAAAAGTACTGTGAACCTTTCTTAAGAAAAGGAAATATTCACAGTCTTCAATTGCCATTATCATTTGCAGATATTTTATAAAAACATGAATTAGCAATCCCATTTTTCCTGCTTCTCTCCCAGAGGCTTTAGAAAGACCGAAGGTCAAGCAATGTCTCAACACCGCACCAGTATTTCACATTTTTAAAGACAAAGTAGTAAAAGATTGTTACATCACCCATCCAAAAAACTAACCACAGCCACAGGTACATGTCACAAGAAACAGCTACGCAAAAAACTCTTAAAACTAATCTGATTAATCAAAAGAGATTTTCCCCCAAACCCCGTATCTGTGGGGAAAATAGCAAATGCAGACAAAGCATTAATATTGTACTCTTAGGGACAGCAAAGYGACACTTCATAAATCAAATCAGAAAGTTCACAAAGTATTAAGGATATATTAAGGTATTAAGAGTGTTATTAAAGTATTTAAGAGTATTAAGTGTCTTTCATCCAATTGGTCATTTAATTAAGTGAGGAGGAACAAAGTGCTTCCAGGGACAACTCAACGTTACACATCAGGGTTGTTACAGAAATGCCCATTTCTGCAWTTCCCACACTGCCTATCTTTTGGTATCGCCTGTATCTCGAAAACCGAGGATGCTGCTTGATAAAAAGCCTCTTTTGTTCGAGCAAACCCTTTGTAGAGAACCCGAGTACCTTAAGATGGTAAAATGCAATTGTAAACCATAAAAATTGGCAGGGACATTCAAGTGCAGATGCGGCATCTGCATACGGGAAGTGTAAAAGAGTCCCAAATGGTGCCCATAAACCCCGGGCAGGGTCCGGCTCCAGGGGCTGAGCCGAGACACCCGCGGGGCACCGGGA